AACTGTTTTTTTATGTTCTTATGAGCAATATGCAACATGACAGAATAAAGTCAAGCAGAACAGCCTAGAAGCTCTGCATCCTGCAAAGACAGTATGATCAGAAGCAAAATATTTTGCTAGCAAAATTGAACGTTATTGATCAGTCCTATTTTATCTACCATACACTAAATCAAACTGAGTTTCCCATTTCAGTAACCCTACAAACATACTTGCATTTTAATAAGCAAAATTCATGTTGTATGTTTTAACAGTTTTATTGGAAAACTAGACTATTTTTGTTCATTATAAGCACAAATCTTACATCTAAGTCTAAAGCATACTGCAACTTATAGTTAGGAAGCCATAAAAAGTTAATTTCTGGAGGGTATGCATAGTCTAGTCAACATGCTAAACCACTCTACCTCCTATACAAGGTGGCAGGATATTCAGGAGAACACATGGCAGAAACAGCAATCTAAAATTCTGAAAAAGGGCAAATGAAAGTCTGTCTAAAGAGCAAAAAAAGTTGCAACACTACAGTTACTGCTGAAAGGGAGCACCTCAGATTCTTCTTGTTTATCTTCCAATGTCACAGCTGTTTTCTCATACCCAACTGAAACTACTCCCTTGCTGGTAGCTGAATTCACGATCTCACATTTGAGCTCCTCCTTTCAGAACTGAAAGCAAAATTCCCAATAATGGGAGCCTCTGTACTCAAAATAGCTGACAGTTTTCAGGATTTTTCTGGACTTCCAGTTTTCAAGATTTTTCTGGACTTCCTGCCCGCCACCCCCCCTACAATGGGCAGAGAAGAAAACAGACAAGAAAGGCTGGTCCATTTAGTAAGACGAAGAATACATCATTAGCTATATTCTTGCTTAATTTAAGAAAGAGGGCTCCAACCTAGATAAGACAGAAAGAAGTTCATTATATACACACTGAGATTTACTAGCTGTATAGGCCCCAAAAAAGCAAGGCTTATGATGTGTTTATAAATAACTACAAAGATATATTCCAAAGTAGACAGAACAAGTCACCCATGTAAGCCAATCTCCTGACTGCTTTGCCTAATTGAGAGTTAATATTGTCACGAAGTTGGTAGGTTAAAAAGAAAAAAACAAACCCACAAAACAAACTGCCAACCCTCCAATACTGAGGCCACAACGAAAAACAAAGTCTCCAGAAGTTTCAGAAGATGTAGGATAAATAAATTCAGTCTACATACAGGCCTCAGATGTAGCAAATGATGTAAATAAATATTTATAAATACATTATATGTTTATAAATATATTTATTTACATTGTAGATTTAAAGTACATTGTATGTACAAGCAATTCCAAAGTGACATATATTACCATACCATCTCGGTATTTCATAAAAAAATTAGTCTGTGCTTCCTAAGGAACTCTGCCTGTAAAATATTTGCAGATCAGTACACTAACAGCTATGGATGTCCATCTTCTTACTTTGCTGGAAAAGGACTTCTACATGACATCTGAGGTTGGAAAACTTCAAGCTTTCCTTACGGGGCATACAAGTCACATTCTTGCAGAATAATTCTGAAAAAGCATTATCATCAACATGATCTACCAAAGGGTGTCAGCAAAACAGATGTTCAAGATGTTTTTCAAGCTCACTTCCCATGAAAATCACAATAATGAAAAAAAAACAAAACACCTTTAAAATAGCATTGCATCTCAGTAAGCTTTGAGCAGCTAAAACTGCAGCCATGGACAAAACTTAACAAGAACACTTGGATATAAGAGATAAGAAATTTGATAGGATGGCCAACATACAGTAGCCAGGTGAACACTCAATATTTAAAATTAGTTTCCAGAGTTCTACAGATCTCCAAATACAGAAAGGTAATTATGTCCTAATAAACAAACGTTTCAACTACAGAACTCCAAAAGCTTCTTCCAACAGCCTTACAACAGAATAATGTAAATATTGTGCTAAGGCAATGAGTTTAAGCATTTTAATATCAACTGCTTTTTCTAGCACATTAATGATTTATAAGCCATCAGAAATACTAAGCGATGCCAACTACAGAAATTAATGTAGCTTTTGACGTACAGGCCATCCAAGCTGTGAGCCACACTACAGACAAAAGGACACATAAGCTGTCTGAGCAGGTAGCCAACTTGGGTTGGCAGGTAGCCAGAAGGGCATTAGCAGCAACTGCACTGCAGAATGCGTATATTTTGTGTTCAGAGCATCTGTAGTCCTGGAAGAGCTTTTCAGCTTTGACGCAGGACTCCACAACCGAACGTGTTTAAATCTGGCAGGGCCCCACAGTAAACAAGCCAGGCTGCATCAAGCAGGCCTCCTGCTGAGCAAGGCCGTGAGCTCTACAGCCTGAGCTTCGTGCGGGAGACGCAGCGTGGGCACCTCCGCACTGAGCTCCCAGGTCATTGTTCCGTTGCACAGAGCCCCCAAGAGCCCTTCGCTTGCTGCTGAAAGGCAGGCACTTCAGGAATAAAGGGCAGCAGAAGTAGTGGGGTTTTTTTTAAGCCATAGCAAAACAGCAGTGAAACAACTCCAAAGAGACAGACTACATACGCCTGCCTATCCATCTAGTATAAACCTCTAACCAAAGTTTGTCTAGCTAAACTAGCAGTACTCTTTAATTTAGAGAATTTTTTAAAAGACAACAGCTGTTTACACAGATAATAACCAAAAGGGATACTTAAAAGCCTGTACAATAAAGTTACCCTAAATATACACACACACTGGTTACGATCGGCTGAAAGTCTAACACTATAACTGAAAAAAGGCTGATTCACAGGTGGAAATAGCTCGAGCCGCTGCAGCAACACCCAACCCCAACTTACTAGTTTCCACCGTCTAAAGTTACCTGACAGAGGAACAGAGAGGGACAGAGGGACCCCCCGGCCGCAGCAGGGACCGGCCACCCCGCTTATCGCCTGAAGGCCTCGTTTTCGCGGAAAAGGAAAAAAACCGGTGAAGGCACAGCCTCCGATACGCGCCCGGCCCCGGCCTTTCCCCCGTGCACCCAGAGCCGGCCGCAGCCAGCGGGGCAGGCACCGGGCTGGGCGCGCCCCGCCCCCGCGAGCGGG